GATCATCATCGACATCGTCATCGTCATTGCAACCTGCATCGTCATCATCATGATCATGATCATCATCATCATCATCATCAGCATCATCATCATCATCATCATCATCATCATCATCATCGCCATCGTCATCATCATCATCATCATCATCATCACCAACATCGTCATCACCTAATCACCCTGATCACCACAACCACCATATCATCACCATCGTCGCACCATCATCGCTGTCAAAAACATCAGCACCAGCATGATCATCATAATCAGCAGCAGCAGCATCAGCACCAGCATAGGCATCAGCAGCAACCTCAATTGCAGCAGAAACATCATCATCTGCATAATCATCATCAAAATCATCCACCTCATGTGATCATCACCTTATCGTGATCATCATCAGAATCATCATCTAATCATCATCATCATAATTATCATCATCATCATCATCAACATCATCAACATCATCATCTTCTTCAGCAGCAGCCTCATCATTAGCAGCAGCATAAGCATCAGCACCTGCAAGCACCTACATCATCGCCATCACCATACCACCATCAGATCACCACCCTCATCACCAGCATCAGTAAGCACCATCATTATGATCAGCACCACCCTCATCATCAGCAGCACCAGCATGAGCATCAGCATCAGCACCATCGTCATCATCATCAGTATCACCATCATCATTAGCATTGTCATCTGGTCATCCTCATGACCATCACCATCATCATCATATCACCGGCATCACCATAACCATCACCTTACCATTGCCATCGCATTAATAGCAGCGCCATCATCAGCAGCAGCATCATCAGCAGCAGCATTAGCACCAACACCATCATCCGCATCAGCACCATCACCATCATACCATCATCATCACCATCACCAGCACCATCATCATCTTATCATGCTCATCGTCACGATCATCGGCCTCAGCAGTAGCATCATCGTCAGCAGCAGCATCACCATCAGCATCAGCACCATCATCGTCATCATCAGCATCAGCACCATCACCCTCATCACCGTCTTAATCATCATTACCACCATCAGCATCATCATCACCACCAGCATCATCATCGTCATTATCATCATCATAATCATCACCAGCATCCTCAACATCACCATCATCATTACGTCCATCATCTCAATAGCATCGTCATCAGCAGCAGCAGCATCACTATCATCAGCATCAGCAGCATCATCACAGTCATCGTCATTGCCATCGTCATCGTCATCGTTATCACCATCATCAGCATCATCATCATCACCATCAGCAGCATCAGAATCGTCAACATCAGAATCAGCATCTCACCACCACAGTCTCATCATCATGCGCATCATCTTAATAGTATCAGCATCATCGGCAGCAGCAGCAGCATCAGTATCAGCCTAAACATCATCATCAGCATCACTACCGAAAACGTTACCACCATCAGCATCATCATCGCAATCATCATAGCATCACAGCCATCAAATCCTCATCATCACCTTTTAACCTCCATAATCAGCAGCAGCATCATCAGCAGCAGCATCAGCAGCAGCATCAGCAGCAGCATCAGCACCATCACCATCAGATCAGCATCATAACCATTTGATGGTCACCTCATCGTCCTATCAGCATCATCATCAGCAGCAGCATCAGCATCAGCATCAGCACCTGGAGCAGCGTCATCAGAAGCATCATCATCAACATCATCTTATCATCATCATCATCATCATCACCAAAATCATCATCATCAGCAGCATCATCATAATCATGGGCATCCCCTTGCCATCGTCATCATCCTAGAAGCACCCTCATCAGCAGCAGCAGCAGCATCAGCATCAGAATCAGCATCCGCATCAGCAGTATCATCATCCTCATGGTCATCGTCATTGCAATCGTCACCGTCATTGCCATCGTCATCGTCATCACCATCATGAGAATCAACATCTTCTTCATCATTATCGGAGTCCGAATCATCGAAATCATCATCATATCATCACCATCTTATCACCATCGTCATCTTAGCAGTAGCAGAAGTAGCAGCAACAGCATCAGCATCAACATCAGCATCAACAATCAGCACAATCATAATCAGCAACATGTCAGCATCAGCATCAGCAACAATATAGTCATCATTATAACTCCGTCATCCTCTCATCGTCATCGTCATCATCATCAGCAGCAGCATCGTCATCATCAGCGGCAGCATCAGCATCATCACCAGCATCAGCATTAGCACCATCATTGTTATCATCATCTAATCACCAACACCACCATCAGCACCATCACATTATGATCATCTCATCATCGTCACCATCATCGTATACAACATCAGGATCATCATCATAATCATCATCATCATCATCATCATCATCATAATCATCATCAGCATCATCATCATCATCTTGCCATCATCATGTGAATATCAGCATAGTCACCAGCATCAGCATCAGCAACATCAGCATCAGCATCAGCATCAGCACCAGGAGCAGCACCAGGAGCAGCAGCAGCAGCATCATCATCATCATCAGCGTGAGCATTATAATCACTATTGTCATCATCATCATCATCATCAGCATCATCATCATCATCATCATCATAATCATCATCATCATTATCATTATCATTATCATTATCATTATCATGATCAGCAGCATCAGCATCATCATCATCATCATCATCATCATCATCATCATCATCATCATCATCATCATCATCATCATCAATGCGTCGCAGGACTCTCGCGAGGCCAGTTCGGAGCTGTTTTGGGGCCCGATGGCGTCCTCCTGGGGCGCTTTTGCGGCCTCCTGGGGGCCATCTTGGAGGCCTCACCAGGGCGAGCGGGAAGACGAGGAGAAGAGGAAGAGGAAAATTTAGAAGAGAGAAGGGGTCATGAGGTAGAGCCGCCTAGAGGAGGGAGCCAGCAGGAGGAAGCATCCCATACCCAGAGCAGGAGGCGGCAACGAGGCGGCATCCACGCGGCAAAAGGCGGCGACGCGGCGAAACCTCGCCGGACCCACCCGCCGCACAAGGCAGCAAAGAAGCGGCAACGACGCGGCAACGACGCGGCAACGAGGCGGCAACGGGCGGCAACGGGCGGCGACGCGGCGAAACCACGTCAGTCCCACCTAGCGCACGAGGCGGCAACGAGGCGGCAACGGGCGGCAACGTTGCGAAACGTCCCCAAATCCACCCAGCGCGCGTACGAGGCAGCAACGAGGCGGCAACGGGCGGCGACGCGGCGAAACCTCGCCACCACCCAGCGCACGAGGCAGCGACGAGGCGGTAGCAAGGCGGCAACGGAAGGCGACGCGGCGACACCTCGCCGGACCCACCCAGCTCACGAGGCGGCAACGAGGCGGCAACGGGAAGCGACGCAGCGAAACCTCGTCAGTCCCACCTAGCGCACGAGGCGGCAACGAGGCGGCAACGGGCGGGGACGTGGCGAAACCTCGCCGGACACACCTAGCGCCCGAGGCGGCAAGGACGCGGCAACGGGCCGCGACGCGGCGAAACCTCGCCAGACCCACCCAGCACACGAGGCGGCAACGAGGGGGCAACGAGGGGGCAACGGGCGGCAACGTGGAAAATGGTCGCTGGACCCTCCCAATTTTTGAGGGAGATCGCAAGACCCCGTAAGTGCAAGCACTGTTTGGGGAACCATGGCTTCGCAGGAATCAGCTGCGATTTCATTGAGAACAAATGCGCTTACAAAAGGATCAAATTAACGTGTTTTACAAAAACACTGGGGCTGTTGTACCTCAACATCGCGATCTGCGTGCGGGGCGCGTCCGATGCTTAGATTGTCGAGGATGCCCCTAGCGAAACAGCAGTGAAAACCTGAACAACGGTAGCAATATTCGGCTCTAAGAACAACTCCCTCGGATAGGTTTGCGCAATAGTAGTAATAGAAGCAATAGCAACAATTATAAGAATAAATATGAGTACCAGAAATATTAATAATGCGAATACGGATTAGAAATAAGAGCATTGATGATGGCAATAGTACTACTACTAATAACAACAACAATAGCACGAATAGTGCATACATAGATGCATGCATACATACATACATACATACGTACGTACGTACATACATACATACATACATACATACATACATACATACATACATACATACATACGTGCATCTATGCATTACGCACATTACGTACATGCATACATACATACATAGATGCTCGCATGCATACATGCGTGCATGCATGCATGCATACATATATACATACATGCATACATACATGCATACATACATACCTGCATACATACATACGGACTGTCTACATAATACATAACACAAAAGTGCGCCACCGTGTCTCCGGGACGAAGCGGAGTGCCTCAAGGCTCATGCAGCACTCAGAGGGCTGTGCTGCTGCTGCTGCAGCCAGGACTGTCTTGAAGGACCCAAACCTGTCGTTCCCCCGGCCGGCCTGGGGTCTGCCGGGCCAGCCTGGGGTCTGCCTGAATCGCTCCCGTCGACCTACCCCACCCAGGAGGGCCCCCAAACGAGCCCAAGTGGCCCCACGAGATCCCCGAGATGGTCAAAGAGGACCCCACAAGATCGCTCCAAAACGCCCAAGATGGCCAAGATGGCCCAAGAGGCCTCCTGGGCGCCTCCAAGAGGCCTCCAAGAGGCCTCCAAGAGGGCCCCAAGGGCGACAACCACTGATGTTTGGGCGCCGTGGCCTGGCCCCAGGACGGCCCGAGAAGGGGCCCAAGCGAGGGAACACGAGCCGAAAATCCGAGCCTTCCGCCTCAGGAGGCCCCCCAAGAGGCGCCCTGGAGGCCCCAAGAGGCCCCCAAGAGGCCCCCAAGAGGCCCCCAGAAGAGGGAGGCCCCAAAGCTGCCTCCAAGAGGCCTCAAAACTGCCTCCAAGAGGCCCCCGAGAGGACCCCCACGAGATCCCAACGAACATCCACTAGGTTTTATACCCACAACCCAGGCACGGTGGCGGGATGGTGCGATACTGGAAGAGTGCGATGTATACACGCGCGCCGCTCACCTGATTGACTTTCAGCACCGTGCCAACGGGCAGAAGGAACTCCTGCTCGTCGGGATACTGGCTGACGTCGGCGAGCTCGAGGCCCTCGGTCACGCCGTCGATTTCGAGTAGCACGCCCCTCTCCTGGACGTCCGACATGCGCGCCAGGTCAATGGAGAGGTCGTTGTTGAGCGTCACGCTGCCGGGCTCCACCCAGACGAGCTGGTCGCCCGGAGAGCACTTCTGGAGCATCTCCAACACCCTTCTCCCCAGATCGGGAAACCATCTGGAGACCAGCCTCGGCGGCTCAAAGGTCTCCTTCAGCCTGCTGACGCCGCACATCAGCTTCACGGGCGCCTCCTCGAGCGCGGCTGCCGCCTTCTGCAACCCCTCTGCCGTGGCACCCCTCGACAGCTCGTCCAAGCAGCCGCCCAGTGCCGCGGTGACCCGGCCGGCCAGGCAAGGGCTGACGTCGGGGCAGGCGTTGCGCTGGGCGTTGCGGGACCGCTGCAGGTGCTCTCGGTACGCGCTGTACGCAGCATCCCGGAGGGGCTCTGGCTGCACGACCACCGGGCAGTCTGGGAAGAGAAGCATGCGGTCCACATCTGCCTCGTGCTGGGTGTAGAGCAGCATGCACAGCATCGCCAGCGGAAACTGGAGCGCGGTGGCGTTCTCCACGGTGTTGTCGTAGCGCTGCTTCAGCTCCACGACGGTTTTGAGCATGACCTTGCGGTCCCACGGTTTCATGCCAGCGGCGGTCCCGTCATCGCCCATGACGCAGTACCTGAGGCTCTCGAGTTCGTCCAGGATGGTGCCCTGTTTGTTCGCCCACGCCTCCTGCAGAAGCGCAACCAGCTGCTTGCCCGTCTCGATGTCGCAAAGAGTCGCTAGAGAGCTCTTGGCACGGGAAGTGCCTGGGCCTTCGGCCTTGACCCTGAGCGAGTGCATCAAGACGTCGAGCGCCAGTTGTGTCTGCTCCGACAGCATATCGTCCTTCATTGCCTCGAACCTGGCGTTTTCTTCCTCGGCCGCAGCTTCGTACTTCTGCCAGAACAGCCTCTTCAGCTCGATTATCTCGTGCGCATCCATCTCGGCCGCCTGTCCCTCTATGACGGCCTTGGCAACGTCCCCGATGTCGACCTCTGAATATTCCATCAGCATCAGCTGCCGGAATTTCTTGGCGCGCGCGGCCTTCAGCGGCTTGAGCTTGTCCCGTATCGTAAACTGATCCAGCCCAGCATCCTTGAGCTCTTTCTCTGCCCAGCTCTGCTTCAGAACGGCGGTGTGGTCGGAGCTTGCGTAGGCCTTGTTCAGCTTGTCCTCCGCTCTGGCCGCGCGTTCCATGAAATCGACCAGCGAACGCGCCTCGTCGAGCTGGGGGCTCAGGCAGCCTGCCTTGTCGGCCTTCTCCAGGGCGGCCCTGAGGCCGTCGATCTCGCCCTTGACCACAGCCTCTTGGACCTCCTGGATGTACACGTTCCTGGCACGCGACTTCTCCATGTCCTTCTTTGCCTTCTCGTGCTGCTCCAGCGTGAACGCGTCAATCTCCTCCGCCTGCTTGAAGAGGCTGGCCTGGAGCTCGAGGTCGTCACGCTTGAGAGCCTGGTGAAACGCCTCGCGGAGCTCCGACCTCTCGGTGTAGACCTGTGTTATGACCGCTTGGACGTCCTCCAGCTCGTTCTGGGGCAGGTTTACCTTGGCACCCTTGCACACGGCCTCTCTCAAGAGCAGCGTGTTCCGGCGCGACTTGCCTTCCTGGATGCTGTCGCGCACCTCGTCTCTGACGGCCTCCTGCTCCAATTCCTTTGCGGCAGCGAGCAGCTCCGGGTCATTGAGCCCGCAGGCCTCGGCCTCCTTGAGGGCCGCGCGAATAGCCTTGATCCTGGTCGGGTCATCCGGAGGCAAGCCGAGTGCTGCCCGCATCTGCTCCGCAGCCGCTACCTTGCGGTCGAGATCGGCCAGCATCGCCCGTGCGTCTTGCAGCTCGCCGCAGTCGGGCGCTCCGGACGCCTCGCCTAGGCACTCCCGCAGCGCTTCCCTCGACTCGGCCGTGGGAGAGGTCCTCTGTGCGATAACCGCACTGCGCACTGGCAAGATGACCCTGGCGGCCTGCAACTCCTCATCTGGAATGCCGCACTTCTCGCCATCCTCGATGGCCTTGGCTAGGTCCGCTGGGCTTCTGCCGTCCAGCGCAGTCTTCAGGGCGCTCCGCGCGCGCTTGCGGTCCATCTCCGCTTTGATCTTTTGCTCGGCCTCCTCTATCAGCTGCTCGTCAACGCCGAGCTGGCGGGCGCGCGTCACAGCCTGGCGAAGCGCATCAATGTCGACGCCCTGGGTTGCCGTCTGGAGCGCTTCACGGGCCTCCCTTCGATCTTCTTCCAACTTGATTATCCTTGCGATCCGCCAACACGCTGGGCCGCGGGCAATGTGTGCGTGCGTGCGCGTATCTGCCCCGTGCGTGTGTACGTGTGCATGTCCATGTGTGTATGCTTGCATTCCTGGCGCATGGATGTATGGATGCGTGGATTTAATTACGTGTGCGTGCACGCCTTGCGAGGCAAGGATTTATCCATAACCACCGCCTGGGGTCGAGCTTCGGGGACCTGAACAGGCGGTGGAAATGAATTTCTCCGGACCCTGGGGAGGCCAAATATACTCCACCGCCACCTGCGGCCCCAGGGCATCGGTTCCCCAGGCGGTGGATGTGGGTAAGTCCTCGCCTCGCACACATGCATGCAAATCTGTATGTCAGAGGTTGTGGGGAGACACCGAAATGGAACTGAATCCCCCGACCCAGACATCGGTGCCGGTCCCGGTTCGTGCCGTGCATGACGTGCGTGGGGGCGAGGCGAGGCTACGCGAGAGTTATCGAGAAATCTCGGCCTCCGTATGACAGGGTGCCATCATTTGCCGATTACCGTCGGCGGGCGATGAATCCTGGCTTGTCCCGCGGCTGTCCCGCGGCTGTCCCGTGGTTGTCCCGTGGTTGTCCCGTAATCATGATGTGGCTTTTCCATGGTCCTCCCGGGGTTGTCCAGCGGTTGTCCCACATCCCATACTCGTCCTGTGGTTGTCCCGTGGCTTGCCCCGTGGCTCCCGCGGGTGTCGTGTGGTTGTCGTGCGCCTGTCCCATGGTGGTTCTGCGGTTGTCCCGCGATTGTTCTCGAATTGCTTCGTGGTTCTGTCGTGGTAGGTCCCGGGTTGGTGCCGAGGCTGTTCTCTGGATGTCTGGCGCCTGTTCTCCGGCTGCCTCGTGGTTGTGTTGTGTGGCTGTCCTGTGGTCGTCAAAAAGGTTGTCTTGTGCCCGTGGTCGTCTTGTGGTTGTCCGTGGTTTTATCTGTTGGCTGCCCTGTGGCTGTCGAGTGGCTCTCGTGGCCGCTCTGCGATGGCCCTGCGGTCGCTCCGCGGTCGACTCGAGATTCTGCAGTGGAGGGGAGGAGGAGGAGGAGGAGGAGGAGGAGGAGGAGGAGGAGAAGGAGGAGGAGGAGGAGGGGTGAGGATCGAGTTTTGGTCCTGCGGGGTGTCCCGCGGTGGCCCTGCGGTTTGCCCCCGGTGGCTGCTCCCGCGGTTGCCCGCAGCTGCTCCCGAGGGGCGGCTCCGCGGCTGCCCCCGCGATGGCGCCGCGGGGCTGTCCTGCGGCTGCCCCCTCGGCAGTGGCGCCAACCCCCAAGGGACTCCAAACAGTTCGTGCCCCGCCTCCTCGTCCTCCTCCTCCTCCTTATCTTTCCCCTCCTCCTCCTCCTCCTCCTCCTCCTCCTCCTCCTCCTCCTCCTCCTCCTCCTCCTCCTCGGGGATCGATGGACCGACGGGCAGATCGACGAAAACTCGGCGGCGGACAAACCTCCCTTTAGTAGACCTCCCCTTCGTGAAACAGCCGGGAGGTTCGAAACCGACGGGCCTGGACCCGCAAAAACGGCGGCCGCGACGCCCGGTTGGGGACCGGTATGGCCTGGGTCCTCCAGCCGTTCGGTGTGAAAACGGCCTGGGACCGAAACCGACGGACCTGGAACCGCAAGCGAGAGCGCAGGCGGCGAGTAACGGAACGGGCGGGCCGCGCGCGAACCCAATTGCCCAACGCGCCGGCAAGCAGAGGCCCGGGCGGCACCTCAGAACACTGGGGCGGGTGGGGTGCGGGCTGCAGCTGCCAGGAACCGGGTCCAGGAGCGCGCACATCGATGGACACACAGGCAGATCGATGAAAACAGATCCAGCCAGATAGATAGCCCGCAAACCCGATCCGGCGCCGATCACAAATCGAAAGCTGCACCCATGCCCTCAGGTCGGGCGTGTCTCCCTACAGGCGGATTTGGGACGAAAAATAAGAGAACGTCAGAAATAAACACCCAACTACAGTCAAACATAATCGAAAAATCGTCCCCCAGACTATGTCTTGACTATGTTTGAACATTCCCCCTGTAGAGGGAGAGGCCCGACTGAAAGATGGCCCGCGAACCCGATCCGACGCCAATCGCAGACCGAAAACTGCACCCGTTACCGGGAATGGACAGAAGCCCCTTTAGTAGAACGTGGTTTCGTGAAGACGAACTCGGGCCCAGACCTGGCGGGCGCAGGCCTGGAGAACGACGGCCGCGGCGCCCTCTCGGGAACCGAAAACGGATAATTCACGAATCGACGTGTCAGGGTTTATGTTGTTCCCATCCTGCTTAAGGACCGCATCCCAGGAATAATTTCGAGCACCCAGAAAAGTGTCAAAAGAGTGCCGAAAGAGTGTCGAAACAGTGTCGGGCGAGTGTCTCCCAGGGCCCGACACGCGAAAACCCTCGGGTTTCGGTACTTGTTCTGGCGCGCGAAAGTCTTTCTGGTGATCAACGCTAAAGTAGGTTGGAGCATCATAAGAGAGGGTGGGGGTTCTGTCCACCCCCGACGCTACCCCCCAAAAAGCAAAGAAACAAAAAAAAACAACAAAAAAAACTTCTCGCGGCGGCGCGCCGAAGGCGGAGGCGCGAGAGGGGGGGGGGGCGGGGCCTCCTCGGAAGGCGGCAGGGGGCTTCTCTCGGGAA